AGTTTATGTGTGTGATAAACTAGTGTGATTCTTGCTAACCATTGTAACTATATCGGTTATGTATTTTAGAAATATTTGTTTAAAAGTGGGGCGTTCTCATTTTCTGAAAAAATCCCCTCTGTCACCCTGATTTTTCTAAGCCCTCTGATGTTTACATTCTTGTAATGAACTTTCTTGCGCACATTATGTAAATAACTCATTGTTTTGCGTTCTTTTATGGAGAAGGAGAAATTTGATGGACTGTTGGTTTGTCCAGTGTCATTGGAGGAGTAGCACTGTCATCCTCCAATCCACTGCCACTTTTGGAAATCTGTAAATGTTGGAGTCAGAATTAAACTTCCCCTTTTTGCCTTGAGAACAGCAGTGTGTGTGTGTTGTGTTATTTCGTGTCCTATAGTGACACCCTCCACCCAGGGTTTTTCTCCTGGGAAGCTCAGAAGCCTCAGAGCAAAAGAAAACAATATTATCTCATTTGCTTCTCCTGTGTTTTGCCCCTTCGGAATGTGTTTGGAGATTGTTTACCCACAGGTGACTGCTCCATTGGATTCTGCTGGGAGTTGTTTTCACTCTTTGGCCAGTCAGGGCCAAGCTGTGTCGGGACTCTGGAGAGAGTCACAGGTTTCCATTATTATTTTTTTAGCTTTCTGTAAGTATCCTTTCTGTATTCTTTAGTATAGTATAGTTCAGTATTCTTTAATACTATATAGTATCTTAAAATAATAAATTGGCCTTCTGAGAACATGGAGTCAGATTCATCATTCCTGGCAAATACAATCAAAAAGGAATAGAGGAAAAGGAGATGGAATTAGTGTCATGAAACAGATGTTCATGGGAAAATAGGAGGCAGGATGTAGTTTGAGATAAGTAACATCCCAAACGAAATAGACCTTGGGATAATTAGTCGGCCTTGAAATGGACAAAATTGGGATGATTCCAGGTATCTATGAAATAATAAGGCTTATTTTTGGATTATAATGGTGGCTTCTATGACACAAGACTTGGGGCACATGTGCAGCCTGAGGGGTTGTTCAAAGGTTGTTCAGTTTTGCTTATGTTTTATCCAAACCACTGCCAAATTTCTTTTTGTATCTTTCTGCTTGATTATATTTGTTTATATTGTTTTATATAAAATTGCTGCTCAATCAAAATTGCTCCTAAATTTTAATTTTGTGGTTTATTACATTAGACATATAGGGTCCTCATTCATAACATGTATTGGCCTATGCATGTTGTTAGTGATTATAACTCTTTAGAGATAGTATCAATTATAACTATTTTTATCTGCATGTTAGTGTGAAAAATATAATCTATCAGCTTATGTGTGCACTGTGTGGCTCGTGGAAATAGTAGTGTAATGAATACAATATCTGGGAAAAACGAAATTCACTTGTGTTAAAATTTTATAAGTTTAATAGTAATGAAAGCAGTAATGAAAATAGTAATAAAAATTAGGACAGTAAGAGACAATAAAAAGTAAAGAATTACGCATGTCTGGGTGCCTGGTACTCTGCCACAGAGCACACCTTGCTAACAAAGGATTACCCCTTAAAAGCTATAGCCTTTGGCATATTCATGTATCTCATACGTGATTCAAACATTCCTTTCAAAACAGGGTATTTCTGCTTAATTTCAGCTTCCCCCCCATCTTGTAAATCAACCTTCTTGGTTCCTCGAAGTCTGAGCTTTCCCAATAAGGAGGCAATAATTCTTTTCTTGGGATCTTGGTGTCTGGTTTTGTTATCTCTACCAGTTAGGAAAATGCAAAGAATTTCTTGGTTATCTTTTCCATTCCTTTAGCTACTTACAAACATCACATAGTTTCTATTTTAATATTATGCTATAGTCTAAAAAGTATATTTATCACACTACTAAAAAGAGAGTAATACAGCACTACTTAAAAGAGATTGATACAGCATAACTTCCCAACATAACACATATAGTATTCGTTTTAATATCTGTGAAGAGCCAACCATATAATATGCATCTATAACAATATCTATGTATTTCTTATGGAAATAATAGTGTGAGGAATGTTCTGTGTTGTTGGAACCCTGGATGCTGAGAATTTTAAATTTTCTGTGCTGAAAGGCACAGACCCACAAGGGAACACTGCATTTGACCTGAGGCTGTGAAAAGGCTTCCAAAATTGATTAATAGCACAGGTGTGTTGTTGGTTAGAAATGTGGGATCTCAGAGGGTGAAAAGACTTAGATTTGGGGTTTTAGTATATTGGAGCCAAGATGGAGAATTTTGGATGTGGACTAACTATCTTTTTTGCACCTTCTTCGTCCTTGCTCTTCACGAATCTGGGTGGTTTTCTCTAATAGGGTGAAAGATATCTGCATTGTGGGTTTTGAGTGATCACAGCTGGGTTAGAAGCATAAATAATATGGATGTCAACTGTTTATTGGCTAATTTTCATTATTATTATTATTATTATTATTATTATTATTATTATTATTATTATTCCTGGGTAATTGGGACTTAAGTAGCCTTGAACAGACACCATTTTGGGGCACTTTCTGGACTTTTTAGGGAGAGCTCACATCTTGTGAGTTTGTAATAGATAAGGATAGTAAACTTCAGAGCGAGACTACAAAAACATTTCCTGAGTATTATTCACCCTGACCTTGGTGCAAGGAAGAGCCTGGCATTCCAACACTGTGTTATAGACCTTAGCAAAACATCAGATGTAAAAAAGGCTTTTGTGTAACTAAAAACAGTGTAAGACCATCCGCTGACCAACCTGTCCAAGTGATATTATATATATTATATATAAATATATTATATTATATATATTATATATAAAACTGTGACACAAACCAGAGCACTGGAGGACAATTAGGGAATACCATGTTAAATTTAAGGAGGACATACCAAACCCTTATCAGAGGATGTGAAAGAGCAGGATGGAGACACAAGAAGAAATAAAATATATTGACCTGACACCCAGCATGTCATGCAGACAAGCTGGAGTGTGAAGAGGTCGAACAAAGGAGTTCCCTGCTGAGAACAAGGGATGCAGCTGACAGGGCCACGACTGGCATCCCAATTTCTTTAAACTTAAAACTGGGTCTCCACGGCTGGATCAAGAAAAAATGAAAGTACTGTTGCACACAGCACCAGCACTGGAATAAGCATCTCAGAGCCTTTCCTGTCTCGTTGTTGTATTTCAGTCCTACCTTGGATGCATCCAGGTCCGTGTGATGCCTCATTGTCCGTGGGTCGTAGCCATTGTGCCTGGCTTTAATGACAGGATCAAAAATCTCAGCAAACACCTGAGGAGGCAAGAGAATATAGAGAGAGTCTGCAGCATCACAGGAACATCCTCAGAGCAGCTGCAGGCTGGCAGAGGTTCCTGTCTGCAGTCACCACAGACAGGGACCCAGCAGCCAGGCTGGGGTTTGGGGTGCATTGCCAACCAGAACACACACCCAGAGCCCCCCAGCCTCTTGGCTCTTAGCCATGCAGGAGTGCCCTGAGTCTTCCCTGCTGTGGGGGCAGCTGTGTTTTGAGCCCCTGGGCTCAGGTGTGCCCCAGCAGAGCCCCTGCAGGGGAGCAGCAGTGGCACATCTGCACAGGCACCCCAAACCCAGCGAGTCTGGAGTGGCAAATGTCCCAGGCCCCCCTCACAGGACATGGGCGAGGCTGCACAGGAACAGGCAGCAAGGAAGCAGACCATAGGGTCAGTAACAATGAGATCTTTCTTTTGTTTTCCACTTCTCATTGCAGAGCTCAATGACCTGTCCGCCCTGATGCTGTGTGTCTTCAGCATTCCTCATACCCAAAGTGATGTCTGGCACTGCCCAAAACACATTTCTGCTTGCTTCTGCCTCTGCTGCTTCACAATGTGATTTCCACATTAGGTTCATTTGGTGTACCTCAGAGTTGGACAGTTTTCCCATAAATTGGGTTTAGTTTCAGGAAGGAGGAGAGCTGCTGGAGGCAGGTAGCAGCTGCTGCCAAGCAGGTACATTTTATTACCTTCAGCTACAGCAGAGGGGGCACCTGTGGTAATACCACATGTTCCTGCTTTTTCTAAAGTCGAAAAGTAGGGAGAAATAGGGAAAACAAGCCTGCCCCCAGGCCCTCAGGGACACAACCTGTCTTAGGAACATGCTCCATCCTGGGAATCTGTGATGGGAATGACACCACGAGCACAGGCCTGGCCAGTCCCGCAGAATCCTCTCACCTCATAGGACTCCTCGTCCCCAGCCACCATGCCCACGGTCTTGATGAAGGGGTGGCCAGGGTTGTCCACCCCGGTCTGGATGCACTGGTCCAGGGTGTACCCATTGGGGGTCATCTTGTCCCTGAGGCGGGAGTAGATGGCCGGGGTCAGGCACTCGGCCATGCAGTTGTTGTGCTTGCGCAGGTCAGGGTAGTCAGCACTGCAGGGGACAGAGCACAGGACAGTGTGATGCCATGGTTTGCCTCACACACCCCGGGTTTCTCCATGAAGATTCTTTCCCCAGGTGTGTCAGCCTCTCCTTTCCCCTCCCAGCACTGTCTGTCCCTCCTGGCATTCCAGGAGGGCGTTGAATTCCGAAGATGCCCTCCATCCCTGAAGGACATTGGGCCACCCAGGTGTCCTTTGTCCCTTTGTCCCTCCCCTCCTGTCCCTGCTTGGTGGCTCCCTGCCCCTTCCCTGCCCCTCT